TCATGATATATTCCCAACGGCAGAGCGATGGGATGCCTTCTGAGGTGAACGTAAACTTTCTGTAAGTTTTCTAAAAACCTATTCATTTCCTTTAGTCACTACTGATTCATTATTACAAACTGCCTCCCCAGCTGGGTTTCGATTGCCTCCCTAGTGTGTTATCATCTCGTATATACTCGAACTTGGGGCTGGGTACACCGAGAGTCGTAGAAGTAGTACATTTGTCTCTATTCAACGAGCACACATAGCAGCAACGGCCGCGCCGTCGCGCGTATTAAAAAATCACGAGATATTCGGTGCGATTTGCCATCCTTCGATTGGTAGTCACAGCCACCGTATTGAACAAGCGACAAGATCACTTCGACACGGACCATTTTATGGCTCCAATCTCTTTTCGTGCAGCTCGCGCAAAGCCATCTCCTATCCCGTCTACTGAGGACCATCCAGGTCGCTATGCACGCACCGTACCTGTATAGACATAGGAACGTGTCCAGCTTGGCCAACCTGAAATGGTTGTGACCTGCTGTTGCTGCTATACCTTGAACCTTCTTTAAATCGTAGCTCACAGCAGTATGTGATGCGCGAATGCCGCCCGCCCAGGTCTAAATTTGCCTAGGGTCCGGTAGGATTCTTCTTTTCTTTGGGCACATTACTAAGCGGAGTAGTCACGTGAGTATTATGCGGAGAATGATAGCGAAAGTAAACGTCAAACCAAACGCCGTAATAAACCAGTGCGTTTGTGATACTTGTCGTATGGCGGTATGTCGGCTGGTGTCGGTGGTAGCTTTTTGATAATAGCATTATAGCAGCGTAATACCGATAACGATATTAGGCACTAAAGTTTTTCGACCTTAACTGAGGTTAGTAGCGGTTGTTAACATCACATGAGGGCGTCTTTCGGCGACAGCTATATCCACTCTGAGCTAGCGGACAAGTTGACAAAATATAACAAGACACGAAGTACATGTTTTTATATCAATTATATATAGACTGTGTAGTCGACAGTAGGCTGCATTGATCACCCGCTCGGTCAGCGGTTGGCATAAGCTACCGGTACCAAAATATTTGGAGTAAAGTCGCCGGGGTTTCGCAGTAGTTTGCGAGGCTTCTATGTGGCGCCCTTGCCGGTACCATTACCCCAGCAATTTGAAGAAGCTGTCCGCGGAAACGCCTGATCGATCCGTGCACTCACATGTCTGTCTATATGTATTATTTAATACATAGGCGTCTCTTCCGATGACGTCAAATACAGAAAAACCCTGCTACAGGCGACTACATTCAAATTCGTCGCCAACAAAGATGTTGGCGCTACGACTGTCGCTACCATTAGCTCTCCAGCGCCGCGGAACTGGTGGCTCCCGGATGCGCCAGTTTGGCAGTGCCTCCAGCGCCTTCTTCTTTCTCTAGCCTTCTTTTTATCCGTCAGCTTGGCTCGTTGTTATTTCATGCCTGATTAGCTCGTAAAGGAGTCAGTCGCTCACTGCGCGTTTGGCACACCTCGCCTCTTTGCTCCATTTCTCGTCGTCGTACCTACGGCAACAAGGAGATGAAGTACCCAGCCCGGAACTCTCTATGTGGACACAACGTAGTCTGTTCCACTTGTCCGCTGCCGCTTGCACAGAGACGCACTACGAGATCAAACGCACCCTCTGACCGAAGGCGGTGTTACCGACATTATGACGACGAAAACGTCGCTCGGTTCCATAATATAGCTGTAGCAGATTACATACATACGCCCATATATGTTATATGTAGGTCGATCCTTTCGTCCGTCTGTCTATAGTCTATATTCAGTGGCTTCACTTCGTGTATACCTATAGAGCTATGTGTACAGACATATGACTGACTGTTTTAGTACTTTTCAGCCCTCAGTTTACATGAATGCCTGGCAACGTCATCCAGTTGGTGTGCATCCCAGCGCGCGACAAACGGCCCTCTGCGTACATAAATAAGTAAAAGGTCGTCTGGATCCTTTCGTAGTGGTCCAGTATCTCTAGAAGTGACACCACTCAAGAAATACGTCCAAGTCTATCTATATTAGCGGCCTTCTTACCATCTGTCTAAGATCCGTTGCTATTATTCCGTACTACACAGTTTATAATTAGGTTGAACAAAAAAAAGCTCTCAGCAAAGCAAGTGTGGAAATATATATATTAATAATAGAAATTAAATAAGCTTATTACGTTGGGGACGTCTTTTAATCGAACGTATTATGAAAATTTCACGCAATATCACCAATTGCAGCGTCAGAGGTAAATTGTTAATTTATAGTAGACGCTAAAGAAGCACAACTGGTTATTCATCATGTCTGCCAATCTCATCAATCCCTTTTAAGTTTCATTTAAAAATCCGTTTCAAATTGCGTCACTGATGAAGTGGCGATAGCAGTCTGTCAGATCACTAAGCCAGCAGCTGGTGCTGCGCTCCACAAGGTTCGAAATTGTGCCGGATTGACCTAGCTACATCCCGTAGTTAACTAGAAATTCTCTTATTGTCATACCGTTGCTGCTGCATTACTTAGAACAAGACAGCTGCTAATGATCTCAGCAGTCAATCGAGTTCACAAGCGATACTTCGCCGTATGGAAAAAGGTCGAAATTGCGTACATACATATTTGTGTGTGCGTTACCCTATAGAGGTGTAGCTAGTCTGCTTGGCAGCAGCAATTGTGATGCATGGCAGGGAGTTGCTCCGCTCGTTGAATGAAAAGAGCGCAGGACCATCTTTAGCCATGACATTACTTTATATATCGGCTAACTAGCTCAAGTGCCAGTGCAGCAGTGAGGTTGCAGGAAGGCATCACAGCCCGCGTAAGTGCCACCTCACCTTTAAATCGACAGTCAACAGTCTGTTCTTACTGTTCCGGTATGGGTTGGCATTGCTCCTTCAGGTAATACTCCTGTGATGGCCTACGATGTGGAGTCACTGAAGTACATGTCTGTGTTCCAATACCATCGTGACACCCTGCGCACAATAGACATTCACTCATACGCATAGTACACACTGTGCGTATGTATGTCTAGGGTCCTCATTAGACGGTGATGACTTCGCCACCACATGGAAAGGGGAGCGGCACCTAGGCCGAGATCAGCTCACTCAAACTTTAACCAACGAGGTTTTGACCGTCTCTGCTGAACTGTGGCAGCCACACTCTTCGAACGAGCCCTTCATAGTCGACAAAGGGAGTCATAGCCGAAAGCGATCTTGTTCAGCCTGTCAACTGTCGAGTGTACAGCGACAAACGCGCGCAGGTAGACACAGACAGATAGAGATAGACGCACATGAAAGTATATAGTGAGACAATACAAAATGAACGAATTCACAACAGAAAACATGGATCATCACACACACTTACACAACACGCAAGCACATTGGAGTTATGCGACAACGCGTCGGGCGGTTCCTGTCTTTCCACAGCTGTTCGCTGAGAAGCTATAAGTTAGATTAGGATGTGTGTTTGTGGGTGCATGATCATGAAGTGTACGGCAAGTATACTACATGGCCAAACTTCAGCTCGTAGTAAGGATCTCGCACTCAAAACTCCCAGACTAGTAAATGCGCACATATCGATAGCGATCATAGCGGGATCTCGGCTCGCTGCTTGTGGATGGCCGGTAAAATGGAGTGTACTTCGCAGTACTCTATGATGCTCGAGTAATGGCAGTGCTACTAAGTATTAATAGTAGTAGTACAAGTTCTTATAGTAGCGTTTCTATGGTCTTTTCCTCTCTCTCTTAGATATTCACACACAAACACACTCACACAGCCGCTCGCACCTCGAATGTGATTTGTAATTGCATGTATTGTTCGGATCTGTCTCGGATATGTTGAGCACCAACGAGGGGTTGAGTCGGATCGACTCCTCGAAACGACCCGCCGACGTCACTCATTGCGAGGTGCAAATGTAACCAAATGGGCCAGACTGTATTCTTCTCAGTAGTCAATACTGCTATTGCCTTGAAGACCTCGAATTCTCGTAGCACTCTTCATTTGTATGTTTGTTGGGCGGCCGCGCCGTGCACTGATCGTGTCACCACGCCAACAGCCGCGGCGGCGGCGGCAGTCAGATGACAGTCGAGGGGAGGAAGAGCGGGATGAAGCTCGGCACGAGAATGGACTTCTCTCTAGTGACAAAGAGGGACTGAGCTCCCTCCCCTTGAACTCCCGTGATATCACATAGGACTGCATGCATGCATATGCAGTATGCGCTTGTATAGTAGAAGTAGCAGAGGCGGTCGCGTAGCGCCCGAAACACATGGACGCCTGCCGCCGTGATGTTGCATTTTTGTAACGGGACCCCAGCGACGATGTCAAAACTTGCAACCGACAGTCAAGAGAAATGAATATGACGGCGCTCGAGTCGGAAGAGGACGGCGCTCGATTGTTACTAGTGTAAAAACATGCAGCAGCAGCAGCAGCAGCGGAGACGATGTATATAGGAAATTCAGTCATCGAAAGGATACAAACGTAGAGTGGCCGTGATAGGTTATAAAGTGGAATTCTACGTGTATGAACTGTGTTCCCGTCGCACGAGGGGGCTGTGCGCGGATCAGCGGCCGCAGACGTTTTTCCATTCTGATAGCTTTGGGCCGAAGGAGTAAATAAATGGCTATAGAGAACAAGTTCAGCTGCTGTTCATCTCTGTCTGTACATGTTATACATACGTGTAAACAACAACAACTTGAGCAGCATGATGTAAAGCACTATATCGTTGGCATAATAAGGTCCAGGGTCCAGAATAATATTGAACAGGAGACCCTTTATGTTAGCAAATCGGTAGCATAGTGAGTAGGTTTTTCCAGAGCGGGTTAAACTTTTATTAATATTAGCCTGGCTGAAGTTGCGCAGCGCCCCACTGATACATAAAAGCATCTTGATAAACTTGGTAACATTCACAAAATATCTGTTCGCGAGCTGGTTGTCAACAACAATCAGATTGCTAACTTTTGTTGCCTGCAGATGTACGACATATAAGAATGTGTTGCGTGGCAACTCCTTACCTGTTTTGTGACGGAGTCAATTAGTCTGACGAAGAGATCCTGCTCTTGCCGGACGCCTGTAAGTTACCACAACGAATCAAGTTAGATATTGATAAGTTAAATATGAAAGTTTTGAAAATGGTACATGCTTGCCCTTCTCTTCCACATGGAGCGGGAAACATCTCAGTGTATCGTACGTATATTTAACAACGACGACGATGTAAGAGAATAGGCGTAGGTTCAGTCTTTTAAGAAGTCTTTTACGCAAGCGATAGGTCGGGAGCACCTGATGCGTAAAGGCGATCGTAGTGACGCTACGGCCGGCAGAACTCCAGTTTCATTAAGGCTCGGGATGATTCAGTATTAGTAAGCCTTTTTGCAAGAACCCACAGTACATAAAATCATTTGCTGTTTGCACGCCTGCTACCCAAATGGGCTAATTGACACAGCTGAATGTAACTCGCTTTGTAGGTGCTCTACATACAATCTTCATAGCCAGTCATCTTTGAGGCCTTTGAGCCGTGTAGACGGAATAGAGCTATATGAAGCGATTTAACGATAGACAAACAAATGCCTGTCTCGGCGTCCCGCGAACAATGAATTTCGGAGACTGTCCTTAACATTGGTAATAATTAACCGAAGAACACGATCGAATGCGTTATTCCACTCAAAGAAATCTTCCTCGCGCCATTTGCTACAAAAATAAGGAGACACCTCAGATCCTCACGCTATGTTCGTGCCTTTTTTAGGATCTTTCACACATAAGACGCTAACAATCTTAGCTAGGTTGTACCGTCACAGTATCTTTTTTTCTGTCATTACAATTGAAATCAACTTATCGGATACGTTAAGCATTGTGAATACGGAGTCAGTGGTAGTTTGCGACGCCATATCTATTAGTGCTGGTAGTGGTCACTCTTGATTTGGGATGCACTAGGGAGTACACGCAACAATTAAGTTGAGTATACTATCATGAAATAGTTAAAATAAAAATATACAATGGGTACTGTCCCTTGGTCATTGCTTCAAAAGAGCACCCCTACTCTTGCCTCATACGGTGGCATGGCAATATCTCTTTGTTGTTTGGCGCTTGGCTCATGAGCAAGCGTGCCCTTCATAATAAACTATCTTTATTTTCAGAAGCGTGGATGAGAACCAACTGTGTGTAAGCGTGGGTTAAGGAAGCATCTTAGTGGTCTCTTGCTTTTGGTCGTTTGCGAATGGTAGTCTTGGATTGTCGTTTCGGCTTCTGCACCGTTGTATCGATGGGGCATTCTCTCAGCAGAGCACAGTCTGGTCTCTACTCTCAGTGGCTACCATCTGTCTTTCTCTTTTCCATGCACCACGCCGGATTCCTTCTCCTACTCCCCACTCAGTTTGCTCCTGGCAACTCGTAGCCCTCGGCGAGTGAGTTCCGAGGTGGCCTTTTCCTACGACAGAGACGCTGCGCCAGCCAGTTTCAAATGGAGAGATCACAGTGGGCTCAGCGGTTTTTCAAGAAGAAGTGACTTTTGAGGACTTGTACTAAGAAACATCTTCTAATACATTTGACTTTACTGTATCTCTACTGAAAAAGAATAATAATGATCTAAAAATGCAGGCCTCAAACGATATCTACGGCCCATTTTTTTTAAATATTCCGCTGTTGTATCTTGTTCGAAATAGATCTTAGCTGCCTAGGTACATACAGCCGTCATTGTCTATCAAATACAAACAGTTTTATGCGGAATAACATTTATGCACCTAGATACAATTTCTGATATACACACTTCGTAGTCTTCCAGATGTATATTGAATCAACTTATTTTTCATCAATCTCCAATTCACAATGTTAGTACGACGAGCCGGCAGCGAATTTAGCCACTATTCGCTGTTGCGTCAGTAGGGCATTCATCAGCAAGTAAGTGTGGAAAATATTTAATGCTATCTGTTTTGTCCTTCGTTCCTGAAACCTGCTCAAAGGCCGCTCTTCGCGCTCATCCCAGTTTTGCGTACAGTCTTCAACTGCCCTCACTAGCCGCAGCGGTCCTCTTACCAACCTCCTTCAAAAAGCCTAAATCCGCTGTCGAGAGCAATTTGATGAAAATCCAAAGTTTCCGTCGACTAGAACCTGAACAGCTACGGCTGTTGGTCCTGTGGCTCCTAGCGTTTCTCGTCGTAGGAAGATGCGGGAGGCTGAACACGGGTCTATGGTAGGCGAGATTTCGCAGGACTGCTACCCGCGCTACTGCTGCCGTCTCGCTGCCGCTTCTATGGGATTGTTAGGGCGTTCGAGTTTGTAGCGAACGCGCCATAGCTAGACGGGTTGACTATCCAGTTTAGGCTGTCTGCCATCCAACAACTAGCAGGTCAAGGGGTTTATGCAAATTTTGTAGCTCGGGATTTGGCCAAAGGTGGCTGCACCCCACCCCGTTTAGGCCACTTCCCCGAAAACTATCCCTTTTGCCCCTTAAACAAGTACCCCAAACGGCATCCGTCGCCACCTCTATCGGTGCTCCGCTGCCAACCTTCGGGCTAACGTCTCATCATCAACGGACCTGCTATGAACAGCGGGGAAGTCGGTTGCCTCGTTGGTGCTTGTTCACTGCTGCTTCCCCGCAGCCGCTACTGCGACTTGGATAATTCTAAGATTAGGTCATGGTGTAGCAACGGCACGTTGCATTAACTGCAAGACTGACTTGATATCATCTGCGTTCGGAGCCCAATTGGGGTAGATGAGCCCCATAAGAACGTCGTAAGGGGCCGTATTGTACGGTCGACCCACAAGCCAGCAGCAGAATTTCAATAAAGCTGCGAAGAGCAGAAAAACGAGTACTAGATAACGTGTTTGTTAATCACTTAATTTGAATCTATTTATATAGGCTAAGAAAATGAGGGTCTCTAACTTGTTTGACAAGAAGAACCAAGTAAACACCCGCAGCATTGTAATGCTATTCTTCAAATGTGTTTAATTAATCACGTACGAGGTACTGTAGTACCTCTCTTGCCTTGTAAAACATATAACAAAATATAGAAGTGATCTTCCTGTGTCGTTGTGCGCTTTCCCAAGATCTGTATATACTTATACAGCTCGAGCTTCGACTAAAAGTGACTCTTACGATGCGTATCCAAATTGGTACATTTACATGGATAAAACGCTAAACTGTACGCCAAATTATGAGGTCGAAAGCCGTAACGTTAGGAGAACTCGCTAGCAACGACAATAGCTTTAATATGTATTTAAGTAGTTTAGCTAGCGGCATCGTAGAACTGAGAGTTTTAATGTAGCGAGCAATTACCGCTTAGCTTCTTCGTAGCGTGATCTTCGTCATTTCGTCGTAAAGTCTTACCGCTTTTGCAATGGCCAGACCGCCCAGCGGAGCCAAGTTGCCCACAGCCCAGAACCGTAGGCAGAGTGAGTGTGTAATTGCGTTGCATCGCCATTACTACACAAACCGAATCATTTATCTATACGTTATAAACTCATTTATCTATACGAACCCTACGAACCAAGGATGGCCTACGTAGCGCTGGGCGTGCGCAGTGGCGATGGTAGAATTTGACCCGTGTGGAATATCAATGCGATGATAGATCCGGAGCATCGTAATTTCTGCTAAATTACTTGCTTCCTATATATACCCGTGCACTGTGAAGCGCGTGAAGCCTATTCTCGCGCAACTTTCACAAAATAGCTGGCTTTCATCTTACGCTCTACGTTCGGAATTAACCAATTGCCACAGGCGAGTGTTTTTTTCATAGAAAATATTTTGAGACATTAGAATAATTACTTTTTATGCCGGGAGAGAGAAGTAAATCAGCAAGCCTGAAAATTGTCTACTAAGTTTGCTATTGAACGTTAACCTCCCAGAGTATAATGCAGACATTTCTAGGGGACCTAGTTAATCTCCCGAACCCTGCGCTCTGTCGTGAACCTTTCAGGCGTTGCCTGTGATGCCAGCAATGTAATGGAGATGCCGTGCGTCTATCACCCGTTCTAATAGATTACTATCGACATTATTTAGACGCTGTCAGTGAGCGGCGTTAATAATTTTTGTGACGTAAAACAACCAATTCGAAAGGCGTTGGTTTCTTCATTTAATTACTGCGCAACGGCAAGTAATTACTGTTTAATCATTCTCCCAAGAGCCCTACAAAAGATCGATTTTCAAACGTATTGGCCCGATCTATTACTAAGCGATATCACGACGGGGGGTCTATATGCGTCTAGTCGCCGTATGTGTCGATTTTACGTCGGACATATTTGTTATCTACACTTGCGACATTAACTAATTGCG